CCCCAAAACCCCAAAACCCCAAAACCCCAGATAGGTTCTAAAGATAGCTATTATATAAATTTAAGAAATAAATTTTTTAATTAAGTTTGATATTAAATATTTTAATGAGACATCCAAATAATGAATGTGAATTAAAGGAAAGTATTTCAAATTTCTTCCTAAGTTTTTTTCTTAGAGTGCATTTATACTTTCTATTAATATATATTCTACTTTCTTATTATATCATATTGGTACTCCTTGTGTAGCCATTCCAATCGATATTCTAGATTTGAAAGACTTAGTTACAGCTGCAATAAAATCAATATTTTTCATTGCTATCTTCATGTTCTTTTTATTCTCTTGTAATTTCTCATATTTCTCTTTCTCATCTTTTGCAAGAAAGTCAGTGTACTTTTTATTTAATGGACTATAACCAAGGATTAGGTTAGGAACCTCAATTATCTCTTGATCTCCGGAATTTTATAGATCCCCGTTTCTACTCATTGGATTCTACTGATCTGCATTTGTCTTTGCGTGACTATATCGTGAATTTATTCTACTTGAATTCCTTAACATTGGACTCTTCAGTAAATTATTTTAGAGGGGTGTGACTTGCAATGATCTTTAATGTAAGGAGTTAATATACGGTAGTTTATTCCTAAATAAGTCTAGTCTTTCAGCCATTTTATTTTTAGGAGGTAAATACTAATTTTGATTATTGAATGAGACTTGCAAATCTGGAGATATCTCAGTTTGCATTGTACGTATTTTATCATTTTACTTAGAGTTTCTAGATTACTAGGTTTATGAAAGAACAGACTAAGATTAAATAGTGATCTGATGATTAAGTGAAAGTCAATCATTTTGCTGGATTTAAGAACTTGCCATTGTTGACTAATTTCCATATTTCTAGCTATTGGTATTTTAAGCATTCACTGCCATCTGATACTTGCTAAATAATCTTTTTTTATCTAATGAAGAACTAAATCTCTGTTGTTAATCAGTACTTTTGAAAGATTCTATGGACTCTAATCTTTGTCTTGTTTACTGATTTGACAGTTCATTTGATTAACTAACTTGAATATTCCTCATTAGCATTTATCTAAGATCTTCATTCAATTTTTACTTTCTTTTTAGACTCCCCTCTCTGTTTTTATTTTATAGTTATATATTAAACCTAGAGTTGCCATTTTCCTAGGCTAACTTAAATTTTTCTATATTATAATCTGAGAGATCATCGTCATCGTCTTCTATCTCGTTTATGCTTATTTCTCTAATTAGATCTTAATTTTCCTCGAGATTGATTGGGGATTAATTTTATTACATGAGCGTTGCTTAAAATTTCTGAGAATAGAATTCTTGTGATTTACTTAAGTTACCAACATTAGAGGAAATATGTTACTAATTAATATTAGTCTCATTCAGAAAAATAATACCTCTCCTTTTTAATTCCTAATCAGTTTCATCAATTAACTGCTTGAGCTTTTGTGACTGTATTTATAATAAATCCAACCAATTACCGTTAAAATTTCTTGGTCTTTCAATTACTAGAGTTTCAAATTAAAAATCCTCTTTATGTTTGTAAATTGAGTGATCTTTAGTCATATTATTATTTTAAAACATTATTTCTATTACCTTTTAATACCTAAACTAGAATTACAATTATAGTATTTTAACTAATGTTCAAAAGTTTATTTATTTGCATATTCTATTTTTACTAATTTTTTTAATAGCAACATGATGGGGTTTTGGGGTTTTGGGGTTTTGGGG